CGGTAACCGACGCAGCCCTGGAGGGAGGCGCGCGCGTGGACGTCGTAGACGTCGGTGTCCCTGGTGCGCGTGCGCCGCGGCTCGCCCCTGTGCTCTTCCCGCTCGAGGCCCCCGGCCCCTTGGGGCGCACAGGGCTTGAGGGCCTGAGGCGAGCGTGGGTGGAGCGGCCGCGGCCGTGCCAGCAGCCCAGGCAGCGGCAACTTGCGTGGGCGAACGTCTTAGAGTCGCCGTAGGAGCGCAGGCTCGGCGCCAGACGGTTGGCAACGAGTGAAGGCGTGAAACCTCCGAGCCTCTCCCCAGAATCGTCTTCCGGCCACTGGGGCGCGAAGCTGCCCTGCAAGATGGCATCCAGATTTGGCAGAGGAGGTAAAAGATGGAGGTGACGAGCTCCTTTGGCACTGGTCTCTGGTTCCTCCTCGAAGCGCCGGACATGTCGCGTCGCCCGCCACAGACGGGGCCGCCTACAACAGGCGAGGCCCACGGAGTCCGGGCCATGGCGACCAATTCGAATGACGGATCTACTTCACGAAGCTCTTGCGTGATACGCTCAACTACGCTCGTTGGCATGGACTGCGCGTTTTCGAAGAACATGTGGCGCGCCACTCCGGCTTCCACGGACGCGGCACGCACGGCAGATGCAATAGATTTCGCTTTGTGGAACCGCGCCGTATCTCCGTGGTCCAAGCCGTGACGATTTAGGTTCACACCCGACAGCTCTCGGCAAGGGAGGCCGCAACCGAGGAGAATCAGGTCCTCTCCAGCCTCTGGCGCTCTACGAACCCATTCGGACGCGAACTGTTCGACCTTCTCTGCCAGAGGGCGCATGTCTCGGAGGAGCTGGGCATCGGGGCACCGATCCCCGACGATCTTGCACGCCGACCCGCGCGCGTGACCTAAAATTGCAAGGACGAAATTTCTCCGAAGAGATCTACGAACAACATTTTCGTAGGGCACCAGTGTCGATCCGGTCTCTTCCGCCACCACTTCCGCGGAAATGTCATCCTCGGCTTCCGGGCGCCCCTAGACCTTGCCAAGGGACTGTATGCCGCGGCGACGCCGCGGAAGGGGCTGCATTTGCTGCCAGCTCCTGGTTGTTCACACTTTGCTCTCCCAACTCGCCCTCCTGCAGGCGGCCCCATAACGCCCCGCGGGTTCCCGGCCGCTTGAGATGGCGTTTTTCAAACTGCACGGCGCCGCCGTGTTCCGCGCAGCTTTGCACTGTGCCAGAGGCGCCGCGCCCCTTCCTGAACGGGCCCCATACTCATACGTCCGGGCACCGATCCCGACAGGTAGCCTTTCAGAGGTCTGGGGAACCAGGCTATGAAATCGCCCCCGCGAGCATCTGTCTTGCGCGACACGCGCTCTGCCCCTAACAACTCGCCAGGGAGAGGTTCTGGAGGGAGCTCCACGGTGGGCATCATCAGACAGCTCCAACCAGCTGGCGCCCCAGCCTCGTGTGAGGTGACTAGAAGCAGCTCCTCCCCCAATTTCCCTAACCTGGATGTGGCCTCAACAATCCTCCTCCTTACCTCCCCTAGCAAACTGCAGTTTTCGATTGGTCCGTCCAAATGCATGGGGGGCTTCCGATACTTCGCCCTCTGGCCGCGCTTCGTTCACGAGTTCAGCTTCGGCCGACAATTTGTCTGGGAGGTTGGTGAGCACGAAAGGGTTTTCAATCTTGAGCTGCGTCAGACGTTCGCGCGCTTGCCCTGCCAGCTCGTTTGGTGCCCAAAACAGCTTGCGATGGGATAGGGAGGTCGCGTGCCACCTCGCGGTCGGCAGGTGCGCGGGAGACCGCGTCTCCTAGAATTCAGAATGTTGTCGTTTCCAGCCAGATACACCCGCTCGATGAGCAGCGGTTCTATCTCGATGTTCTCGATACACATCTTGAGCAATTTCTTTGAGACCCGCCTATTGGATTGCATTTTCGACCGGAAAATGTTGTTTTGTGTTCTGCGAACAAGAACACACGGAACTTCTTGAAACATGTTTGGCCCCATATGGCGCTCTCGTGCAGCGTTTGAATTTCCCGTTCCATTGATGTCCATTTTTGTCGCGTGTTTGTGAAGCTTTTGGACAGCAGTGCGATTGGGCGAGGGGTACCATGTACGGAGTCTGCCTGGCACAACATTCCGCCGTATCCAAAATCGCTGGCGTCGACAAACAGGGCGAAAGGACGTCCGCTTTGCACGGAATCGCGCGCAGCCTCGTAATCAGGATTCATCATAGGCGCGTGAGTGACAATAGCTTGTCGGAGCCTCGCTGCTGCGCACTGCGCTTTATTGTCCTGAACGTGGTCACCCCACTTGGCTCCTTGCTGCCTGCGCGGCTCCAGTGGAGCCACAATTGCGTCGGATCCAGGGATAAACTCCCGAAGGTAATTGGCAAAATGGAACGGCGAGCTCACGTCGGCTAGCTCGGTCTTTCCTTCGGCTGGCACCACGAACACTTCGTCAATCGCCACTCTACCCCGCGCTGCCGGCCCCGATCCAGCAGCGTCCTGTGGTCGGCCAGGTGCTCTTCGAAGCTGTCACTGCGAGCGTGGAAATCATCGACGAAAATGCTCGTGGCTTCCAAGTCACCGAAGCAAAATCGTTAAATGACTGACAAATTCCGGGCCCTGCTTGGGCCCGAAGGGTAGGTATTCCCACCTGTGCAGCCCTTGGCGCGTGACAATCGCGAGGATGCGTTGGGCTCTATCTGTGAGCTCAAGTTGGGAAAAATCCCAGACCATGTCCACTGTGATGTAGTATTTGCGGTGAGCCGCCTTTCGGAGCACCTCGTCTGCTTCTGCTGGCACTCCAGGGTGGTCTTCCGACCACTCCGTAGTAGTCCGCGACCACTCTTCCGAAGACGAAGCCCATTCTCTGGCATCTTCTGGGGGTGCGTCATACAGTTGACCAGAAGCATGACATTCGTCAAGCCTGTCTTCCAGTCGAGCTTCGTCAAACTCGTTCAGCTGGAATGGACGTCGAGCCGAAGGTTTCGACCCAGGCTTCGGCGCAACATCTGCCTTGAAATTCTGTATTTGTTGTGCTGCGCAGCCGGGCTCCCAGAAACCGTCAGCGTACTTGTCCAGGATCTCACCTGCGAGTATCTTCCACTCGTCAGGTGTTCCCCAAAACTTGCTCTGAGCTACCTCACGGACTCGTGTTCTCCATTCTGGAGACGACTTGTTCCAGGCTTGTCGGGTGGCTAGAGCGTGGCGCTGCTTTTCTATATCTTCTTATAGCTTGGGGAACATTGCTGCCCTGCCAGCAGTGCGCCAACGTTTCCTGTAGCTCATAGACCCCATTTTGACAATGGTTTCCGGACCCTAGGGTTCCGATCCCCAGATTCGCGGTTGTTCTCCGAGTGTTTGGAGTAGTCCGTGTGCCATTGCGTCCGCGCGGCCAGCATTTGCGCCACGGGAGCGCGACGACGTGTTCGAGGCGATTGTTGGGCGAATATGGTTTCTCAGATACTCCACACAGAGTGCTCCTGAATTCCACCTCAAAGCGTTCACCCTCCAGCTGCGGTTGGTTCTCTGGTCCTCCCCGTCGGCCTCTGCGGGCTCGTGCAGCTCCACGATTGTCTCGAAGGTGCCCAAAGCCACCTCGGCATCCGGAGTACGAGTGGACACAAATGCCTTTACGCGGCCGTGTCGGATTTTGGCGGGCCCTTCCGCTACTACGATCTCTGTTGGTAGATTCGGCGCCCCACGCACGATCCATTTTTTTCTGGGGTCTGCGTTCGTGGGGGCCCACAACTCCCGCATCTCTGCGCTGTGGAGGTTTAAGGAATCCGTCAAAACCGCAATCCCCTCAGTGGTTCTGAAGGTACTGAGGCAACACACTCGGAATTTCGATGTCGTACGCTCTCAGTTCAATGCTGTCCCAGGTGCTGCCGTACCACGGGCTGTCTAAAGTTGGACATCCAAGGAGGAGATCATCAGTGAGGCCTTCCATCACACAAAAACAATTGGCACAGTAGCTGTCCGACAAGGGTCTCTAAAGACGACTGAATCACGACCACCTCGTTGCAGGCACTCTGTATGCCTTGGGTTGCTCCTCCGACTTCTCGCCGGTCGCAAGGCATCCTCTTGGGAATTCTCCTGTGGTCGCCCAGCTCACCTGTCGCCTGCTTCTGCTCCAAGGTACGCAAAAACTCAGCGTTCACAGTATTCCAGAAACTGCCAACACCCTCGCGGTACCGCCGTGCACGTGGGCTCGCTTATGGTACCGTTGTGGCAGCCTATACAAACCATCTTGCATCATATTAAACAGTTTTTGAGACGAGTCATAATTGTGTGACGGTTTTCTTCAACGTGGTTGGTCGGGCTCGTACTCATCATCAAATTCCACACTAAATTTACCCATTACCCCAGTCAAGTAAGCCAGTACGGCTACGACTACGACAGAGGCAAGTCGACCTACGCACCACCGGTGCCAGAATTTGCTTGCCGTCCTGGCTGCCCGGCGGCACGATCGGCCCACTCGGAAGACGCGCCGGACGGCTCTCCGGGAGGCGAGCTCCGCTCCCACCATTCCAGCCGCCTGCTCCAAGCGCTTCACACAGCGGTGTTTCTACCCTGGCCCGTGGTCGGCCTCCAGGCAGCACGGTGCGCCACAAGTGGCTTTCGTGGTAGTGCTGACGACGCATCTGCAACCCTTCTGGCACTGTGCGACCGACCATCCCAACATAGTGGGAATAATCCGACCATGTCTGGAGCTGAAGGAGGCTGCGTCCCCTTCCAGTTTGTGCCCCAACCCCTTGCTGAGTTGAGGCATTGATTTCTAACTTTGATGGACAGGGCGAACGAACGAGGAGGCGGGAGTATTGGAGGAGAAGTGAGGAGGAGGAGAGACGAGGGGCAGGAGAGGAGGTGGGAAGAGGAAGAGGATGATCAGGGAGGAGGGGGGCGGAGGAGGATGAGTAGGGAGGATGAGTGAAGGTGAAGAGGAGGGGGAAAAAAGAGGAGGAGGAGAAAGGGGCCAGGAGGAGGAGCAGGCTCGCCGCAGGTACTCGGCCCACAGGGCGCCGCAGTGTGCGAATTGGTACCGCGAGAAGACTGGGCCGCGGCAGCGGGTCGGGACCGCGCTCATGCTCTGCCGTGTCCCCGGCAGACCGGCCACAAGTGGGGGAACTGCGGTCATTGCCCCCGCACTTGCGGAATTCACCGGCTCCGACATTTCTCTCGAAAGGTCGTCAATGTGATGGATTCCCCCCGGGGATCCAGGAACGCCGCCCCCCAGTTATGGCTCGTCGGCCGCCTCCTCTTCAACTTCCTCCTCCTCCTCCTCCACCTTCATTTTCCTGTTCCGCCTCCCCCCTGCTACCTCCCGTCAGCCTCCTCTTTCTCCTATTTCCTAGTCCTCCTGCTATTCCTGCTCCCTTCTTCTGGAGCATCAGTCACGGAAGCGCAGCTGCTGCCACGATCTGTCCATCCATCAAATCAACATGCCTCCTCTTCAGCCTCCTCCTCCGCAGGTCGGTGCCGCGGCTCCGGGTCGGGATCGCGACATTCTCGTCAGGCTCCTCGTCCTCCTTGCCAAGTACCCCGACTTAGTTGCTCAGTGGTCATGGGGCGCGACAGCGCTGGCGGCGTGAGCAGCCATCACTTGTGCAGCTCCACATCATTCATTCCTATAGGGGTGTTCTTCCTCGCTCTCTTTCTGTATGACTCTGCCTCGATGTGTCTAATTCACCTCCTCCTTGTTCTCGTGTCCCCGTGTCGATACGGCCCTCTACCATCGCTCCATACTCATGCTCGACGCCCTCCCCATCCCCGAGAGTTGCCTTTTCCCGTAGAAGACATCGATACTTGACCACCATGCCTGGCCAGGGCCATCATAGGCTCTAGGATCGTGTATATACGTAGACCCTCCTGGTAGACGCCATACCAGGGCTCGGGATGGCCCTGCATAGGCACGGAGGTGGTATACATTTGCAGTTACATATGTGTCCGTCGCGTGCAGGATACTCTCTGGCGGCTTCCGCGGCTGGGAGGCCCATCCGCCCACAGCGCCGGTGCTCCGATGCCTCCTCGGGCGGGCTTCAGTCCGTCGCTCTCGTGGAAGCGGCTTGGGCAGAGAGCCAGGAGCAAAAGGAGGGTGCACGGCTCGGCAAGGGAGGGGAGAAGAGGAGGAGTGAGAAGGATGAGTCTTGGCATATTTCAGGGGTTGACGTGTTCGGTTGTGGCCTTGGGGGAGAGTCGCCATGTTGGAGCATCTTGGATTTCTTGGGTAGGATTTCGAGAACTTCCGATGGATTTGCAAGTCTGTTCCATTACAAAAATTGTGCAGGTGAAGCTTACGACCTCAGTTGCGATGACAACTTCGCCCACCTATTGTGCACCCATTGCTTTGGCCCCCGATGCAGGAGACAAGACATCTAACAGCGTTGGTGAGAAAGTTGCTTCAATAGGGTGCAAAGTGGGGTATGATATCATTTATTGCGGCACAAGGCGTTGAATCTGCATTCGGCTCGACGAACCACGAGCACATCGCCACCTCCATGAAAGCTGAAGGGGTTGGCTCGGATTGGTCGCTGCGCACCTCCGCGAGCTCACTGGGATACGGGCCATAATTTACTTGCCCAGAGTCGGGAGCACGACCCTTTTCGGCTAGAGCAAGGGGGGCAAGCAGGGCGGAATTGAGACCCCCGACGAGCTGAATGCTTTTAATATTTGATGGAGCCCTTGATCCAAGCGTGGGGCGCCGAGGGATACGGTTTCGGGTTGCATCTTGGTGATCGCGATGTCTACGTAAACCACGCGGTGAGGTGCGATAGCGTTATTTTGTTTGCGGTCGACCAAGCGAGTTTGAACATTACGATTAAAGGTATTTTTCGGCGAGCCCACGCACATGAGTTGTATTGGAAGCCCGTGTACCTGGAGATTCTTCCCGGGGGGTAGTTATGCCAACGATTCGTCGTACAAGCTTGCTGTGAAGCAGAGGTGCCCAGCAATCCTACACCGTAGTCGACGTTATGGTCTTGTTGGGAGAGCTGTTTGATAGAAAGGGACGTTCGGTGGCAAGCATGCGGTTCCTCCATGCTGCCTCGGATATGGTGTTTTTCAACGAGTTAGTGGTTATTCCAAACTCGGGATCCCGTCCTCCCTCGGCTTCGCGCTCGATCAACCTCCTCAGCTACGTCCGCGATATTCGGCGGCGATTCCTGGCACGTTACAGCCAGCCTGCTTCGCGAAGGTCAGCGATGGGAATGTAAACGGGTCTGCCGCATGCTCCGGTTCCGCCGCCAGAACCAATGGAATTCATCAGGCGGTCTGCAGGTATGAATAGTCAGTGGTACGACTACGCGGACATTGATTTCTGCAAAAACCAGATCTTCCGCGGCTTTTACATAGCCGCTTGGGATGAACATCCCAGCGGCCTTACCAGCCAGGACAATCATTTCGCTCTGGGGGCAGAACTATCGAAATCAATGGTGGTAGGAAACTGTTTCGGCATCGGGTTCGAGTATGAAGCGCCGCGACGCGGTTTTGATTCACAGCAAGCGTGGGCACCAACCAGGTTGGGAAGACCCGTTGTGCACGATATTGGGGTCCGATTGGCGTTCGGTTCGGGCCCGTACGCCGTCCACGGCAGAATGGTTGAAGGGAGTTGCAGGCTTCTTGCGGGACGCATGCTCGTTCTTTGGCCATCATGCTCAAACGACCCCAGCGGTTCATCCACATCATGGTCCTATCCAACATAACCGCGCTGAAATGCTGAATGGTCTCCAGGAGCTCCCGCTGCACCCTGGCGACGACAAATGGGGCGCTATTCACAAGCAGGTAAGGTTTCAAGTGGGTTGTCTTGGAGTGGCGCAGACGGTCAGTAGCGAGGCTGTCTTGCGAACTCCCCACTTGGAGGCCATGTTTAGACGAGTATGCCGACGCCTAGGGCATATCTAGGAATCCGGGTGGAAACCGCGACGTGATGTCGACACGTTCTTCATTGGCTTTCCCAGAGCTTCAACAGCGCAACCGACCACAGTGTCACTTTGACCGCGACTTCGGGATCGGCCCAAGGCGCTTCCGATAACAATCGCTACGACATCTCAGGCGGAAGGTTTGCGTCGACGGCGGATTTCGTAGATGCGGGTCGGCTGTGTTGGGCATGTTGGTGCACGGCATCGATAGGCCAGAGGCCGTCGAGGTAAGGCGTGCTGCGCGGAAACTCACGGGCATGTTTTCGGCGTTATTTTCCGAAGCCACCGCGTTATAATAGAGTGTTGATGCGCAATGTGACATGTGTGACAGCATTGATCATTGTTGTCATGAACCCCATTCACCCCTTCTTCTTATTGAGGTAGACACGTGATGATACTGAACCCAGAAAGCTATTGGGTACATGTCCCAGGGGTCGTCATAAGCCTACGGGGTCCTGGCAAGTAACAAGCCTCCCACTTAGCACGCGCGCGACTGTGCCAGCAGACGTCCGAAAGAAAGAAGGACCCCAACACACACCACCATTCCCGGGTGAGCCCGCCGCAGGCGCCATCATGGGTGAGCGTGATGCGGCGTGATGCGGATGGACTTTCGGCGGGTCGGCGAGAGACTCGCACGTTGGGTCGCGGGTGGGTCTTGGGCGAGTCGCTGGTGGCTCGCAGGCTGTGTCGCGGGAGATCGCGGGTTGGTCGCGGGTGGGTCGCTGAACGGGTCGGGTCCATGGGCGCGTCGCGGGTGGGTCTCGGGAGAGTCGCGTGTGCGTCGCGATTGGGTCACGGGACAGCTTTGGGATGTGTCGCGGGGTTGATCGCGATTGGGCGGCCATTTGTTCGGCGGCATGCGCGGCAATTTGCCAGGTTGGTTCCAGGCGATCGGTTGCGTTGAGCTGCGCGCGATATTCCTCGCGTTCGTGGAGACGGAGTCGCGGGGTGGATGGCTCTGACCGGCAATCGCGCCAAAGAAAAGAGTTGGTGCCGCTCGGGGAGATCGAAGTACGGCGACATATGGGCTGCTGCCTGGCGGCGCAGCGACGACATTGGCCGCACAATGTTTTCTCTTCGATGGGTCAAGACGCATGCGAGCTGGGCCGAGGCGTCTCAAGGGAAACATCGTCCTTCGGGGGCAGGAAGAAAGAGGCCGATAGGCGTGCGAAACTCGGCATTCGGCATCACCCGCAGGATGGCCCCATGGAGCTAAACGAACGCTTACGAGCAGCGATTGACGCGGCTCTGCCCCTGCTCCACCACGTCGGCTGGCCCGACCGCCAGATTCAACCTCGTCCGCGCCCCAACCTCCAGACCGAACTGATGCCGGAGAGTTCAGCGAAAGCCGACGCGATAGTTCGTCTGGGCATGCATGGCGGGCGCGAGCTGTGGGAACAGAACAGCCCAGAGGTCTCGGTCAGCGGTCGAGCCTTGCCCAGGAGTCTTTAGACGCGCCGCGCTCGTTCATCGCTCCCGTGGGTCCGTTGTGGGTGATTCGGATGTGGTGGTGAGGCGGCTCGTCGGAACGGGAGGGTCCGAGTAGTGGTGAGTCGATGTTGTTGTTTGGTACGCGCGGGGCGTACGGCAGGAGGCAGGCGGTCCTCACTTCCCGCGAGTTCAAGCTCTTGTCGCAACAACCCCGAGCGTCGGCTCGATTCACTCGTGTGACTCGGGGCCAACTCCTGACAGGAGTGAAGCCTCAGTCTGCCCGATGTGGGGAATGCCTTTCCCCCCGTTTGCCAGAGGTTTGCCTCCAGGATCCCCAACACTGATAACTTGCCTTCTTGGGATGGCGCCTGTTAGTTGGCAGGGGCGTTCTGCTCTGCGGGCCACCCTCGTGCAGGACACAGGGGACAGGGGGGGAAGGGTGGAAGAGGGGAGGCGGGAAGAATCGTGGCCCCTCTCGACCGAGTCGCAGCGCCGCAGGCTGTGGGCCTCCCAGTGGCCATGCCGGCTGACAAGGAGAAGGCAAAGAAGGCTTGTCGACTCTTGGAGCAGAGATGACAGGATGAGGATGATGACGAGGAGGAGGAGGCGAACGATCAGGTGAACGTGATGTGGAAGGCAAGCGCAGGGTAGAGCGCTCGGTTGCATTATCGCCGACAGCAGCAGGTGTTCATATTGTCAGCTTGCTGTTCGGTTTTCTGCGCTGTCTGTGCCATTGGATGCCCGAGTTGCTGCCATGTTGCACCGTTCACCGCTCGCCTGTCTGGCGCCCAGCGAGTGTCGCAGGGACATGTTTTCTGGCTTGCGTTCGTCACCAACCTGGCGTCCGCACTGGGCGTGCGCGACATTGGCGGAATGCAGCAGCAACGAGGCGCGTCAGGGTTGAATTTTCGTCCGGCAATCGTATTCAGCAGGCATCAGGAAACCATTGACCCGCGGCAAGCGACGTATCGAGATGAGCTCGCGACCCTCCCCCCGAAACGTCCACGCTGCCCTCGGCCCGGCTTTTGGCTGCAGGCCGACGAGGTCGCATTGCAGCTCGGGCACAAGTTCGTGGAGGCTTGCCATACCTCACCTCGGCGATCGGCTTGTATGTACGGGGCCACTTCGGTGCCTCCCCTGGCGTCGTTGATCCTCGGCACAGGTTTGGCACGGTGCGTAGACATTAGAAGACAGATTCATAATGTACGCTGGAGTGGGGATGAAGAGGGCACAATCATGATACGGTGAGTCAGTGTCGTTCTCGCAACGCCAACGGAACGGGAGAATGTTGACCTTGTCCACGCGTTTGCTGGGGCGCCTTGCTGCGCGGCACCGCCTACCAGGGATCTGACCATATAAGTATTTGGAAGATTATGCTCAGATGATTTCGTGGACAGGCTTCATGTCGGCTTCGGTTCGCGACATCTGCACAACGAACGTGTAAAACACAGTAGTTCGAGCCTTGCCGCTGCCCTTTCGTGTGGGAGACGTCGGGGTCGGAAAAAACAGGAACAGACAAAAGGAACACTAGCGCATCACAGACAAAAGGAACACAGGGTCGGATTTGAGGCCTCTCGGCCGTTCCCCTCCGCCTGGGCCCGCCCCGTGGGATGCCCCGTTAGAGCGTGCGGCCCAAGGTGGCCAACGCCTGGCGCCCTTTCTTTGAGAAGGCCCTTCGGGGTTCGGTCCTCAGTGGACCTCTCCCAGTTAGCCGTGAGGGCCCCGACAGTTCATGCTATTTCAACACAGCTGACCGTAGCAGCACCGCAGATCACCACTGCACACCAATGGCGATCGGCAGACCAGCACAGCAGACCACACCAGCACGGCAGACCATAGCAGCAACACTCCGTAGCCATTTTGGCTCAAGGCCATGGCGCACCCGACGACCGCGAGTCCGTCGGGCGTTCTTGAGCGCGAGGGGCGCTTCGCCAAGAGCCAGAAGCTTCGCCAATTTTGGTTCTCCTCGTTCCTTCAGGGCCGGGAGACTCGGCCGAGCTGCAGACAGTCCCACGGCGTGCCGCCATGTCGGCGGGTGCCTCGGGGCTGGCCAGGCGGGCGTACTGGCTGTGTGCTAAGCGTGGCTGCGACGCTTGGAACTGGTGTGACAAGCGTTGGACGTGCAAGGTGTGCGGTACCAGTGCTCCCCCATGGACGAAGGAGTACCGCCCCGACAGGGGCCCCCCGAGAGTGGACGCGGACGGGTTCGTTCAGCAACCCAGAGGGAGGGCTGAACAGCGGGCTGCGAGGCGCTCAGCCTCCCAGCGGGCCCTCTCGGGGAGCACCGCGCCCAGCAGCACCCCCAACAGCAGGGCAAGGCGGGTGCGGCCTCGGGGAGAGGCCAAGGCCCAGTGCGTGGAGCTGCAGGCGCAGCTCGTGGCGGCCAAGGAGCGCGTCGACAAGCTCCAGGAGGCCCTGGCGCTCGGGCTCTCGGCGGACTTCCAGCGGGAAGTGGAGGGCGCCCTCCAGCTGGGCAAGGACCAGGTCGCCGCATGTGAGCTGGCCGTCCTGGAAGCCCAGAGGACGGACCGCCCTCCGCACTCGGTGCTCCACATCGAGGCCAACGCCATTCAGAAGGTCGAGCGCCAGCTGGCCGCGGCTCGCACCAAGAAGGAGAGGCTCCAGCTGCAGGCGTCCGAGCTGCGCGAGCTCATTGCGGAGAAGCAGGAGCAGCTGTCGGCAGCCGAGTTGGGAGTGGATGAGGTCGCGGGGCAGATTGCTGAGCTGGAGGAGACCCTTGCCAAGGTCACGCAGCAGGCGATCCAGCGGGCCAACGCGGCCGTCGGTGGTGCTCCGAGCCCGCTTGGGGACGCCGTCCAAGGGCTGCTCACGCAGGTCGGCGCCCTTTCGGATCTCCTCAAGCTGCACGGGTCGGAGCTGCCCCCTCGGTTCTCCGAGATCGTCGGGCTGCTCAACGCGCAGAAGGAGGCGGTCGCCGAGGCGCTCGGGCCCCGCAGCAGCTCGGCCAGGACGCGGTGGGGCGACAGCGTCGGGGATGATGGCATCGCGTCCGAGGATGACGACATGCCGCTTGACGTCGTGGCCTCTGGGGGGCCAGTGGCCGCCCCGCCCGCGGCAGCCCCGCAGGCAGGGCCTACCGCGGCTGGGCCGCGAGGCCCGCGGGCCAGGTCAGTGGATGGGCCCTACGGCCCTGCAGCAGCCCGCGGCCAGCACGGGACGACCCTGGGCGCGTGGCCTCAGGTGGAGCCAGGCCCCGCTAAGGCCCTCGCCGAGCAGGGGGCGGCCCTCACGGACAGCGACCCCTCGGTGGCTGTGGCTGCTGTGGTTGCTCCTGCTGCTGGATACGGGCCGAGCCGTGGGTGACGCGGGAACGTCGGAGTGGGCACTTTCCTCCGCCGACCTCGTCGTCTGGGACAGCGGAGCGCCCTTCCCGTGGGACGTGCGAGGGCCCAGCTGCTGGGGCAGGTGGAGGAGGTGCTGCGCTGGCCGCTGGCGCGCCCGCGGCCCTCGCAGGAGGCGGGCGGCGCCGTGCACCCTTGCCCGAAGTAGCCAACTGGCGCGGTCGGGAACACCGAGGTGGCCCCCCGACGGCCAGTCAGGGGACGTGAGCGGTGGGATTCAGCCCCACGACGTCGCAGCTCGCGGCCCCGATGGTGATGGGCAGGGGCACCCCCCGCTGGCAACCAGAGGAGTCGATGGGCGGCCACCTCCTCCTCAGAGACGGTCACCTCCCGTGCTGGCCAGTCGCCCGCCGACGCCGATGAGGAGCGCTGGAACGCGGGGCCAGGTCCCCCCTCCAGTCCTGGTGGGGGCGGAGGGTCCCGCGACCAGGGGCGCGGCGTGCCCGTTGTCGGGCGATGGCCAACGCGCGGTCCACGTGGCAGCCGTCTTCGGCAAGGCGCCGATGTGTGACGGGGCAGGAGGCCAACAGCTCAGAGCTGGCCTCGTCTTGCTCGGCTGCAATGGCCACGCGTGGAGCAGGTGTATTAGGGGCATTGAAGGTTTCTTCCAGACGTGCAACTGGCCCGACGTGGTGGTGCTCCAGGAGAAGAGGCTCCCGCATGAGCGCCCGCCCATGAGGGCGGCTAAGGGCCGCGGCCTGGGAGACGTTGCCTTCCCCCCCGAGGCAGAGCTGTCGGACAGGCAGGCGCCCCAGGCGACCTCAGACGGGGCGGCGATCCTGGTGCGAGACGGCTTGCAGGCCGACGAGTCGGCGTCCTCGCTGCCCTCGGCCTTGCGGCACCGCCCCAGCTGTGTGGAGGTGACGGGCTTCTCTGCCGACATCCCGTGGGTCCTCATTGCCTACTTCTACATGGAGGATGTGTCCCTTGAGGTGTTGGGATGGCAGTGGCGGCACGGGGACACGTCCTGTGGCCCTCGGAGGCGATGTACCTTGGCGAGGGCGGCGCCCCCCTCTACGTCTGGCACGTGGCTTCTGCCCAATGCCCTTCTCGGGGAGGGGATCTACGCCTCGCTGGTCGTACACACGCTCAAGGTGACCAGGGCTGCTGCTCACTGCGTCGCCAGGGACGTGCTGGTTGGCAAGGCCATGGGAGCTTACCTCCGCGGCAGCGGTCATGCCGTACGCTGGGCCAAGGCAGTTGCGGAGCCACACCGCGCCAGCGCGGTGGCCAGGCGCGGGCTCTTCGGCACGATGGAGCTGGAGAGGGAGCTCTCTTGCAGGGAAGTAGCCTCCCTCTTCTGGCAGGGGGTGGCCCTCGCCAAGTGCGGAGTCGGCGCAGCCGATCAGGTGCGGTTGGCGTGCACCCACTGCGGGGCGACCGTGAGGCTTGACGGGCGCGCAGGCGCGGCGCCCGAGCTCAAGGAGCGATGCCCTTGCTCTGCGGTGGCTCGGCCTGAGCCAGAGCAGCCGAGGCGCAGCGTCGCGCCCAGGCTTGAGCTGCAGGTCGCTGGCTGGGCGCGCCACTGGACCCAGGCTCCCGAGGTCGGCGTGACGTTGGAATGCTACAGCGAGTGGATGGACCACTGCGTCGGCTACGTCGCGCAGATCCTGTCCCAGCCGCGCTTCGCCACCAGGCTGCGGGCGCGTGGGAGGACGGCCGAAGAGTTGGCCGAGGAGATCTGTGAGCGAGCCTGGGGGACTGGCATGCCTGCGAGGCGTGCCTACTTCAGGTGGCGCCGCACGCTGACGCGGTCGCAGAGAATCGTGTCGGACTGCATGCGGCGCTATGACTATGTGTGCCTGAGGACGTGGCTGGCCGAGCTGCAGTGGGAAGGGCAGCCTCCGCCCATTGGCCCGCTCAGAGCGCTCCGAGCGCCTTCGGTGCCGCGGCATGTTGGGCGCAGAAGGCGACGTAGAAGCGGCGAATGGTCAGCCGCGGCTGAGACGGCGAGCGGTGGCAGGCGCATGAGGCGCCGCCGCGCCGTTGGTGACGAGGGGTAGGGTTGCAGCATCATCTTCTTCCTCTGTTGTATCCGCCCCTCGTCACCCTTTTCCTCTCGGTGCGTGAGGCAGCACTTCTGCCCATTGTGCACCTGCAGCGGGGGGCTTGCTGGGCGGACGTGCCCGACCCTGCCCCTGCTGCCTTCCTGATTTCTTAGAAATCGTGCGCTTCGCGCGTTTGGCGCTTCGCGCCCTCCCCTGCCGGGGCTCCTTCGGGGCCCCCAGGGCTGGCCCTTGAGGCCCTGGGGCCAATGGGCTCCGTGGGCCTCGGGCTTCCTTGTGCCTTCATAGGCCCCGCAGCCCACAGCCCATAGCAGCAACACGACTGAGCAGCACGGCGATCTTACACGACGGAGAATCCTCTCGAACCCGTTTTACAAAAGCGACGTTTCCGGTTCTTGTCCGGTCAGGTTCGTCGGACTTGGAATGCGTTTTGGGGGAGTGTTCAGGCTTGGTGGGATCGTCACCGAGATTCAGAACATGCGGTCGAGGTTTCGCCGGCCCAAAATCAGTCGGATGCTTTCTTTGGGAATGGGTGAACGGCCATTTTATCATGATGCTGTCTCCCCCTTCGGTGCGTCGTCCTTGTTATCGTGCCATGTTGCGTTATTACATCATGTTTGCTTTCTTCTTCCAGAGCGGTTGCATAGTACACTTCGTAATGATATTCAATGAGCATCGCCATTTCAAAAGCAACGTGGAATCTTCGTAGGTTGTCGTAGGCTTCGTAGGCTTCTGGTGGGCTCCTTGGAGGCTACGCCGTCTTGGGGTCATCTTTGGCAGTCTGGGCCGTCTTGTAGCCATCTTGGACCATCTTGGAGGTATGCTGGGCCGTCTTGGAGACATCTCGTGAGGACCGCTTGGGGCCATCTTGGCCGTCTTGGAGGCCCTTTTGGGCCTGTCGTAAAGGCCGTCACCCGAAGCTCAAAATGATTTCGGTGACGGCACCTATCCTTGCTTTCGAGTGATCTTGATGGCAGGTCATGGTGTAGGCAATAAACTTCATACGAGATTTAAGGAGAGGCTTTCTAGCGAACGAAATATACGGCGCTGTCATGGCTCAAGACTGCGCAGTCCTACATGCCAGTTGCACGACTGTGTGCGACTATTTGCGGGTCATAGCATCGGACAGAGGCCGCGTCCATCCATGTTCCACCTCTCCATCCCATGGCTTCTCCCTTACCTCTCGACTTGCTTGCCATCAAGAGATTAGTTGTGGGAGACCTCGACACGTCGCCGTCGTTACCCTAAAGGTAGGGTTCTCCGCGTATTACCTCACGGTCAAGCCCCGTACCCGTACATGTCACTCGGTAGCGGAGTTGGGTACATGTTGGCGCAGTTGGCATTTACATCAGGTGTTATGTACATGACAACTTTCCACGGCACAATGGAATACCCGACTGCGCCCGTTTTCAGCCACTACACTCCCAGTGATTCCTACACCTCCATCTCCCCACCGCGTGGCCACACGCCACGCACGACCCAAGTATCGATACCTATCCGCAAGCTGACGGCCACGCCAGACCAGACACCCAGTCGCAACCCTACAGACGCGACAATACCCAACGATACGCAACCTAGCGTAATCAGCTACAACGTGACCATGCACTATGTTTAGGTCGCGATATTTGGAACCACCTGGGCGTGCTTGGGTCTCGCCGTGGCAGACATGCGAGGAGGAGGAGGACTGGATGAAACACGCATTCGGGGTCCCGTATGGGATCCCGCAGGTAACGTACCCTTTCCGCGTCTTTGGTCGCGAAATACAAGCATTGTTTCAGTCGCGAGCGGAAGCGTAGCTACACCTCAACTGGCAGCTGCTTTACAGCGCGGCCGAGGGGCCTGGCCAGGACACTAGCCATGCGGGCGCCGTCTACAATCGTCAACTATGGCGTCACACTGCAGGGGGGACGCACCGACGGAATCACGTACATCACGTACCTACTAGGCACCATATCTGAAAACCTTGAGGACGAGCAACAGCTCACCTCAGGGACAGCCATCATCGATTTCAGAGTCGAGCGTGGCGAGCGCATCGACCCAGTGTTGGCCCGACTCGAGATGGCCAGGCTGGAAGCAGACTCAGAAGGCTTACCTCCCGAGCAGCACAGTTATTGTAACCGCTGAACCACCAGATGCCCCGCACTCAACAACAGCATGACCAACTCCTGGAGCGAAAGCGCAGCCGCGGACACTTGGCTGAGCGCCCCCCAGGGAACACCGGGAGCATTTTCAGCGGACGAAGCGCCAGCACCTACCACGCCGAAGTAAGTGACATTGGCAGCCATGCCGAACAGCATTTGGAATGACGGAAAGCCCGCTGAGTCCACAACGCCCCCAGGCCAAGACGCTAACAACAACGACGAACAGGCGTCTGGCTCAAACGTGGGCTGACCGCCAGCGGCCAGCTATGCGCCGCCCGACGCGACAATCCTCAGGGGTTCACCCAGCCAACAAGATGGCGACGTCTTCGGTTCCGTTGCGGATTCCGACGCGGCCCCCTCTAATAGCGCCAAAAACGTCGACCGGCCAGGCTTGCCCGCCAGCGATGGCGCAGTTGCGCAATACTTATGTCTAGGCTATCATCGCGCCAGAAGAAGGTGGAACAATCATATAAGAAACCAGTGAGAAGGCCCAAGCGAGCTGCGCGTCGCGTCGCACCGGGCAATGTTTGGCACACTCCTCACACGTCTCGTGGTCTTATAAGAAGCTCCCCCGAATGCGGTGCATACGACGATGGTATTCACAATTGCATGTGGTTAAGTCCTTCACCAGGCTAGTTTGTTTTTTCCTTGGGCCGCCCCCCTGGACCTCCAAAGCTGCCCCTACAAACCCTCAGACAGTTCCAGGATGGGCCCCGCGGACCATCTGAACGTGTTGGAAACTTGGGTCCCCATCCAAGACCTCAGGAAAAGGGTCCGCGTCTAATTCTAAAAGAGCGCGAGAGTTGCTGAATGACCATTGAGGACGGAAGGGCGCTGCTCCATTGATTGTGTTACGTTCTGGTGGCGCATGTTCAAGCGAATGATTTACCAGGGGACCAGTTGCTTTCCCACACGCTCGGCCGAACGAAGGCTGAGAGTAGGGGGAGCAGGAGCAGGAGCAGAAGCAGGAGCAGGAGCAGGAGGAGGAGGGGCATGTTTGCCCTCCCGCCTTGCTCGGCCCCAGGGGTGCCTCGCGGGCGTCCCTGGCGGTGGATTCTGCATGCCAGGGGCGGCCCCGAAGCCGCCAGTCCCTGCTGCTCCAGAGGCTCCGGCCGGCCCCCCTCGGCAGCGCTTCCCGCGGCGAGTCACGGTCGGTTCGGGGCTATCGAAATGAGGAGGAAAACAGGAAAGGACGAAGGCCAACAGCAGCTCCTGTCCAGTTCGGACAGGACCCGTTGTCGGTGTCGGCGCAGACGTTGTCCATCGCCAAACCAGCAGCGGCCGCTATCATTTCTGGACAGCATTTGTTGTTGGGCATCGCCCCCATGTCTGTCCGTCGCCATCTTGGGTGCGCCAAGTCGGCAGCTCGCGCGGTCTGGCCGATTGGTATGATTTGCTATCTATCGGCTTCGAGAGGGCGCGCCACTCTGGGGCACGTAGTCCCTAGCGGGGACCCCATAATGCGGTGCAGCGAGCGGTGGGCAAGTGGCGCGATGAGTGCACATTATTTTTGGGGGGCGGTTTACAAAGTGAAGATGCCTCGAGCGTCGGAATCCCCTTGATTCCCAAAACGGTGACGCGACATGGGCACGTTCCAAAGAATGGAACAAACCACCGAACCAGAAAGGCCGCGCCCTGACTCCGCATCGGCAGTCATTGAAAGGACATGAGAACATGTGCGGTCACATGCAAGGATCATGCAAATTCAAGTTGAGCCAGAGCAGTGGCTCGGGCAACATGCGTTCGGAACGTCGCCCCAGCGCTGTGCGAGGGTATGCTGCGCTACTCAGGAAGGGAGGGAGAGGGAGGACTCGTGGGACACGGACCTGGTGGCGGCGCTCAGCGCAGAAGGTGCCGAGTCCGCATTGCGTGCTCTCCGGGAGGACATCGCCACGGGCCCGGATTTGTTGCCGACGAGAATGTTGAAGAGATGCTCTGTCACGCTTGCGCTTCCTGTGTGTTTGCTGGGCGCAACGAATCTTTCCTCGGGGGTGTGGCCAGCAAGTGTGGCATGCATTTGATTGTTGTTTTACATAAGAAGGCGGTGTTCGATCCCAAGAATCACCGGGGCGTGCATCTCACCGCGCAGCTTGCCAAGGTCATCGAGAGATTATTGCACCCAGTTTTCTGCCTTATCTTCATGTCAGAATCGAGTATTGGCCGTAATCAGTTTGATTACAGTCGCGCCAGGGGCGCCCGGGACGCTCTGATGGCTCTGGCATTCCTGGCTTTGTCCTGGTTGTCAGCGCTACGGGAAAAAATGCAAGTGGCATGAGCCCGTTTCTTTACTGCTTGGGGCATGACGGGCGTCATGGCCCCCGGCCGCCCCCCCCCCGTTTATGACGTAACGCTCCCCCCATCCAGTGCGCTCCGGGCACTGCCCCCCAGTGCGCTCCGAACACTGCCGCTGTGCGCATTGGGATCCGCGTAGGTGTCCGCGTAGGAATCCGCACGGGAGTCTGGTCCGCAGTCGTCGTCGTCGCCGTCGTCGTCGCTCGTGGCTTGTCGCTCGTCGCTCATGGTCGTCGTGCGCGCGGACGCGGTTGAAGCCTGTTTTTTATTCCGGGCCGACGACGGCAATCATCTAGGGGGGGGATGGAAGGGGTCGATGACGTCACGTTTCGCGCCAGCGGCGTTTGGGATTGCCCAGGAATGACGGGGGACGGGTAACGCCAGCATGTAGGTGGCGATTGGCACCACAACGCCTGTGTACACCACAGTGCCTGCGTGCACCACAGCGCCTGTGTACACCACCGCCTACGTACACCACAGCAGCCGCGTGCAACACAGCGTCAGTTTGTGCCACCGTGCCTGCGGGCACAACAGTTCCTGTGCACACCACAGCGCGCGCGTTCACCAGATCAGCCGTGGGCAACACAGCACCAGTATACACCACAATGCCTGCGTGCATTGCAGTGCTTGTGTACACCGCGGCGCCTGTGTGCACCACAGCAACCGTGCGCAACACAATACCATTGTTGTATATAGAATGTGAGAACGAATCCTTATGACAAAATGGAGCGCTTGTGGACTCCACCGAAATAGTACAAAACAGTCCTTATGGACAACGGAGCGCCGCTGGAATCTACGTGTCCTCCCGAATCCGCCCGCGCCACCGTAATATAGCTATTCCCTTTTGCGCCCAGGAGGTTCCAGTTAAATTGGCCGTCCGAGAACCAAGTGGACCAATTCAACCGACCATTCTGCGGTGCGCGCTGAGATGCGCACTTGCGCTGTAGCGCCAACCCGCACGACAGGGGGTAAGGAGGAGGAGGAAAAGGAGGATGAGGAGGAGGAGGAGGAGGTGGATGTGGAGGAGAAGGGGGAGGGAGGAGGGAATAACGTCGCATTCGATTATCAGCAATTTCCTTGCGTGGCGTTTAGTTGTCCGCAGCAGACCCTCACCCTCCCTGAGACACGCGCTGTGGCGTGCACGGGCGCTGCGGTGCACGCAAGCACTATGGTGTACATAGGCGCTGCGTTGCACATGGTAGCTACAGTGTGCAATTGTACGCCAGCGCTGTAGTGTACGTAAGCACTGTGGTGTACACAGGCGCTGCGTTGCACACGGTTGTTGCGGTGTACGCAGGCGCTGTGGTATACAGGCGCGTTGTGGTGCACGCGATCGTTGCGGCGTACACAGGCGCAGTGGGGCATATCGCCACCTACATGCTGCTCGCGTCGTCGACGTCGTCGTCGTTGACGTCGTCGTCGTGATCGTCGTCGTCGTGGTCGTCGTCCTCGTCGTCGCTCGTCGCTCGTCGCGTCGCGCGCGCGGGCGCGGCTGCGGTGCCAGAGCCACACGGCGGGGAGGGCGTTACGTCATACCCCCACTGTCCGCCCCCCCCCCCATGACGCCCGTCATCGCCGAACATAAAGAAACGCGTTCCATTGCATATGTCCGACGTGTCTGCCGCTTTCGATAGGGTCTTCGTCGACAGGCTCGTCGGTCGGTTGGCCGCGAAATGGGCGCCGCTCGAAGTTTGCAGCTTTTCAGGTCGTGGCCCGCCCGGCGTCGGGAGAGCCCAAGTTGCGGTGGAAGGCTGAGAAGTCGATCGAGCTTCTGTTGGACAACAGGGTGCCCCATGGCACCGTCAGCGGACCGATATTGTGGAATGCGGCTTCACGCTGATTCTGCACAGCCGATCAGAAAAATCATAGCCTTCAGGACGTGATGTTTGCATCCTCTTTTCCTCTGCCGCACTTTTACGGCTCGTGCTCTTGGGCCGCGCGCGATCGATGCATCAGTTTTTCGTCCGAGCTGGCACTGGATATCCATTGCGCTGATCGCCCGCGACGGCACGCAGCAGTGCCCAGCGTGCGAGCCGCGCCTGTCCTGCGGCGTCTGCCCGGCGCTGGAACGCTCGTCTTGCCCTGAGCGCCCTCCTCACTTCCAGCGCCCCAACCTGGAGCACTTGCCGAACAGCTCCATCCACCAGAAGAGAGCATATCCGTGATCTTTCTGCTGGGCTGCATGCTGGTGGCCACGGGTGCCGGGTATCTCGCGGGGCGGCGCGGGGCGCTTTGGGCGTTCAGGCCGCCGTCCGCCTGGCTTGGAGCGAAGCCTGTCGCGCCTGCGGGCTCCGGGGTGCCGCTCGGCCCTGCTACGCAGCGGGCAGGTTGCCACCCTGCGCCCCCTACCAGGCGAACTTCGACTTCGAGGAAAACGCCGCTGGAAAGGGGCGCGCGAACGCGATGCGCCTCGATTTCCTTTGGGAGGACATTGCGCGTCATCAACTCTTGGTGGCGGCGGCATAGCACGAGGCCCCCGCGCAGAGGAGTTCCGGAACAACCCTGGACGATATGCAGGCCCAACACTTTAGAACGCGCAGCCTCTCCGCAGGAATGCCGCACGTAGAGCTTCGCGCGGCCGCCCATGGCGCGCGCGACCAGGCGGCCCCCGCTGGAAGGCCACGCGCGCAGGCGGCGTTCTGCCATCAGCGGGGGGCACCAGCCGGCGTCGCCCCGCAGGAGGTCCTGGAGGGAGGGGGGGGGGGGGGGAGGGGGGGGGCAAGCTAGGTGCGCTCGCGTCATATCTGACGTCCTACCCCTCCCTCCCATCCCTTACCATAGCGCTGATTTTCTCTATCCGCGGACGCGTGTCGTAGCGGACTTGTGGCTCCGCGCGCGCGTGCGTAGTGGGTGGTGGCGCGCGTGCGTGCGTGCGTGCGTGCGTGTGTGGTTGTAGTGGTGGTGGTTGTGGTGGTGGTGGTGGTGGTGGTGGTGGCGGTTGTGGTGGTGGTGGTGGTGGTGATGCTGGTGGTGGTTGTGGTGGTGGTGGCGGTGGTGGCGGTGGTGGCGCGGCGCGGCGGTGGCGGGCGGATGGGCGCGCGAGAAAGAGGCTTGCGCCGGGGCGAAAGCGCCATCTTGAACGACGTGACGGAGGCCAAACACCGATCCGAAAATGATCAGAGGAGCATGAAGTATTGATATTGATAGTTTTCCAGATTCCCAGGGTTTCCTGTTCTTCCGCGCGGGCTCCAGGGACGAATGGTCGAGCGCATTCCGTCGCGCAGGTTCTTTTCGCGATGTTCGCGGTGCATTTTTCGCGCATCGGAGCGCCCTCGAAGATTCCAAGCTGCATGCTGTGTTGCTCTTGGGGAGTCCTGGAGTCGCAGCTGCCATGGCGTTGTTTTCGAGGTGGCCCCTTCGAGTGCTGTTCGCGGGCGCAACGCGCGGCGCGCGCTGCGCCCAATCGCGCGCGGCGCGGCGCGTGAATCAGCCGGCCTCGCCCGTCAGACCGCCCGGACATTATTTCTGGATTGCAGAATGCGTCAGAAAACTCTTCCGCCCTTGTTTGCGCAAGCGGCTCCGCAGTTTTTCAAAAAGGAGCCCGGAAATGTTCCCCCCCAAAAAAAAGTTTTGAGGGGTGGAATGCGCCCGCCGCGCAGGACATCTGAAGAATTTTGGAATTTTGAATTTTTCAAAATTGATTTTGGAATTTTTCAAAACCGACCCCAGAAATTTTCAAAAACGATTCTGGTATTTTCCAAAAAGTAGGCCGGACATGTTCAAAAACGTTCCCGGATTTGTTCATGTTTACCCCTTGGGACTTTTCCAGAGTCGCGCATGATTTGCCTTGCCAGGTCTTTGGGAATCCGCCGA